ATTTGTATTTGTATTTGTATTTTGTCTTTTATGTTCCCCTTTTTTCCCCCTTGAATTGTTCGCCACCCTGAGTCCTCCCGGAGAAGGGCGGCATACAAATAATAAAATACAAATACAAATACAAAGGAGTGGGGAGGGGGGCAGAGGAGGCATGCTGGAGGGGAAATGCCCAACATGGGGAGGCGAATTTCCTTTTGGGGTGCGGGGTGGGAGGAAAAGGCCCCAGGCTTCAAAACCAAACCCTTTGCCATGGGAAACTGACCGTCCATTTCTACCAGCAGCTGGTTCAGGGTCTGCTCCTCTTCGGTGTTGGAGAAGCCGGACATGTTTGTCGAACGCCTTTTCCCAACCGCGTCGATTTCATCTATGTAAACGATGCACGGGGCACAAGCCCGGGCTTCCTTGAAGAGGCTCCGCACCCGGGCAGCGCCAAGGCCTGCAGAAGGGCAAAGGGGCAGGGAGCTCTGAACCGAGGCACCGTCTAAAGGGAGGGAGGCTGGGCCCCCAAGAGTTTCTGATCGCAGCTCTCAGCCCAACAAACCCACAGGCCGCTGGGCCAGTTTCTAGCCAGACGGGTTTTCTGCCTGGAGCCAGCAAAGGGAACCCCAGGAAGCTCGGCTAGTCAAAGCCCCGGTGCTTGTTCTGGGCTCCGGAAGCCCCCCGAGAGCCCCCCAATCCTCCCAAGGAACCTGAGGCTCCAGCAGAAGCTTTCTAGGGTCAGAAACGGTGGGGGGGCCAGGGGGTAGGAAGCAGCAGGTGAGTGGCCGTCGCCACCAGCCTCCTGATGAAGCAACTGGTTCCAGGCCTCTGGAAATCGTCTCCTTCCCCGGGAGGCTCCGTGGCCGAGAAAGAGGACTCACCGCCAATCACCTCCACAAATTCGGAGCCAGCTATCGCCAGGAATGGCACTTGGGCTTCTGTAGCCACCGCTTTGGCCAACAAGGTCTTGCCGCAGCCGGGTGGCCCGAGCAAGAGGGCCCCACGGGGCACTTTGGCTCCCAGCTGGAGGAAACGCTCCGGACTCTGGAAGCAAAAGGAAGGGGTGGAGTAGAGCAGTGTTTTTCAACCTTGGTGACTTTAAGTCTTGTGGACTTCAACTCCCAGAATTCCCCAGCCAGCTGTGCTGGCTGGGGGATTCTGGGAGTTGAAGTCCACAGGACTTAAAGTCGCCAAGGTTGAAAAACACTGGAGTAGAGAACGCTCTTCTCTTTCCCACAGGGGCCCCAGGAGGCCGGAGGGATTCTGCAGCCTCTCTCGCCCGAAAGCCTCTCGGGATGAGCAGAGGAAGCTTCCCCAGCCATCCCCTCTCCTCGGCCTTCCTGCTTCCCCAGGCAGGCCGCGCCTTTTACCTTCAGGTAATCCACAAACTCCTTGACTTCCATCTTGGCCTCGTGCAGGCCTGCCACGTCCTTGAAACTGATGCCCTTCCCAGATTTGCTGTCCACGATTGTGAAGCGAGCCCTTTTCAGCTGGTTCTGCCAAGGAGGGGGAGAAAAAGCAAGCTCCTAGCCCCTGTGGGTTGTGGCGCTCGGAGGGGAGTTCGGATACTCCTAGCAAGAGGCAGAAACCCGGCCTCCCCCTCCCCGGACAGGGCCCAGGTGGGGCTACTTCCTGCTTCCCATCCCACGGTGGGGCTGTGCTGGCTGCTGCCCTCCAAGCGGATAGCAGGGAGCAGGGGGGGGAACCCTCTGCCCACAGAAACCCTCCTTCAGCTGAGCACGTGCCCCCCGGTCAAGCACAGAGGTGCCTCTCTACTGTTCAGGTGGAAGAGCTGATGGGGGCTTCTTGAGCTTCAGCCCCCAGACTCCAGAAGCGCCTCCTCTCAGAGGGTCTGATGACTGGGGGGCAGCCCTGAAAACAGCCGGCATCGCATTCCGGCCTCCTCTGAGCTGGCGTGACGGACAAAACCACTATTGACCTGAACTGCAGCCCAGCGGGTGATCCTTCTCTGCTGAGCTAATCTTTTAGCCTTGCTCCCAGACGGGCTCTGACAGCGTAAGAGGGAAGAACCCTAACCCTAACCCTGAGAGGAAGGGGAGCCAGCAGAGACTTCGGAAAGAGTTCTCCACTCCCCTCGGAGGCCTTAGGGGCCAGCTGCCACATTCTCGGATATGCTGGGTTGGGGGCACAGTCCCCACATCCTTGGAGGGGCGGAGAGCTGGGAAAGGCTCAGTTCTCAGTGCTGCCCCAGCCGGGCAAAGACCAGCAGTTTTTCCTCAGCCGACGGGGTGGGGGTCTGCCTGGCACAGATCAGGAGGCACCTGACCCCTGGCAAGGGGGGAAAGGGGGCTGCTGACAGCTAAAGCGGCAGCAAGAGGGATGGCTGAGAACTGTTGCAGGGAAGGCTCTGCTGGCAGCACGAAGACCAGAGCAGCTGATGCCCACTTGGACTGACTAATAAATGGTGCCCTGTGCCGACAGAGGCCTGCAGACTTGTTCCAGGCAGGGCGATGGCCCCGGCAGTCCCTGGAGCTCAGCCTTCCCACCCAAGAGGGGAAGGGGACTCCCTTTTCGTACACACCCCTGTATAGGAGGCTGGACAGCAGGCAACCCCAGCAATGGCAGCCACGATAGAGGAAGACAGAGGAGCCCCAGGCTGCCCAGTCTCTGACCGCCCCCATCTGGAGGATGTCAACCTCCTTCTCCCCCCCATGGTGAGGCTACTTACAAAGGCACTGAAGGCGCCTTCCCTTCCCGATAGGCCAGCCAGCCGGAAAATGTACCATAGAATGCCAACGCTCACCACAGTCATTCCCAAGGTGTAGAGGGCACTGCCAAGACAGGAGCACAAGAGGGTCAGGCCTTGGCATCCGGAGGCAGATTTTGGGGAGCAAAAAAGCACAGCAGGAATCTGGATTTCTCAAATGACAGAATAAACACCGCGGGGAGCCTGGGGGTTGTGATAAATCCTTTGGCTGCCTGCTCACTTAACTGTTCCAAAGGAGGAGAAGCAGGTGCCAACTGGACTACTGTAACGCACTCTACATGGGGCTGCCCTTGAAGAGTGTTCGGAGACTTCAGCTTGTCCAGAACGCAGCCGCGCGAGCGATTGTGGGTGAACCTCGGTACACCCACGTTACACCTATCCTCCGCGAGCTGCACTGGCTGCCTATTGGTCTCCGGACATGCTTCAAGGCGCTAGTTGTTACTTTTAAAGCCCTACATGGTATTGGACCTGAGTACCGCCTCCTGCCAGTAACCTCCTAAAGACCTATTA